TGGCAGCAGGAAAACAAGCTCTTTTTGCCCCATCGGGCACTGAGGGAAAAGGAAGCCGGAAAGCAGGGGGTTTTTTTGGCTGCATTGGGCACTGAGGTAGTTGGCAGCAGCAAAGTGGTGTGTCTTGCCCCATCAGGGCCCTGAGGCAGAGGGCAGCAGAGCAGACTCTGGTCTTCTTCAGCAACATCAGATTTGCCTGCAAAGGAAAGGTTTTTGTCCCCAGGATGCCCCATCGGGCACTGAGGGAAAAGGAAGCCGGAAAGCAGGGGGTTTTTTTGGCTGCATTGGGCACTGAGGTAGTTGGCAGCAGCAAAGTGGTGTGTCTTGCCCCATCAGGGCCCTGAGGCAGAGGGCAGCAGAGCAGACTCTGGTCTTCTTCAGCAACATCAGATTTGCCTGCAAAGGAAAGGTTTTTGTCCCCAGGAAGCAACTGAGGTTACTTGCATCTTCCAACAACACCAGGAGCACCATCAGATGAACATGGTCGGTGCTACTAACAGTGGTTAATCCACGGGGCTGTCAGAAACAAATCAGCTCTGCAATCTGAAGCTGGGTGATGGGGCAGCAAAGATGCTTGTTTAGAACTAGAAAACTGGGGATTGCAACTTGGCTGCTGAGACTACCTGGATATGATAAATATAGCTCTTGGAGGTTTGCGGGGGCTTAAACAGGCCAGCCCCCTTGGCATGGCTTGAAAACCAGATGAGCTCTGCAGTCTGAAGCCAGGCAGTGGGGCGACACCCGGACATGGATTGGGTGGGGCAGAGCAGACAGACCTTTTGGAATGTAACCCAAGCGGAAAGAGATACAGGATTAGGAATTTTTTCAAATAGCCAGCAACATCATTGAGTTTTTGTCCTGTCAGGCACTGAGGAAGTTCAAAGCTGGAAATCAGGCTTTTTGACCCCATCGGGGCACTGAGGCAAAAGGCAGCCACAGGAGACTCTGTTCTTCTTCTTCTGCAACATCACATTTGTCTGCAAAGTTACCTCCAGGTAACCCCAGGAGGCAACAGAGGTTCTCAAAGCAGCAGCAACAGGAAGAGAATAGGGTCCGACTGCAAGGTGTTACTAACAGCGGTTAATCAGGGTAGCTGCTGGGCTTCTCGAATCAATGCAATGGGGTGACCTGAGCTCTTGTTCCTGCTTCTGCCTACCTACTGAGTTAAACTGCTGCTGAGCCACTAGGCTTGTGGATCAGAAGGTCAGCACAGCAGTTTGAATCCGTGATGTTATCAATGGATTTCTTTGGAGGAGAGAGTTTGTCCACATGGAATTAATGCTGTTGGAGACCTAACTGATTATTTACTTGTCTGCCCAATTTATAAAGACTTTTAAGAGTAATTCTGTTCAAAGAGTTAGGTTCACATTTAATAGATCTGATGCTTATGTGATAAATTTTCTGTTGGGGGATACTGTAACATATATTTCTGAAAAGGTACCCTGCTTCGCATTTAGAACAGTGGTTTTAAGGAGGAGGTTTTGTAGTGATGATGATCAGGTTTTATTTGTTGATTGAATTGTGTCCTTGAGAATATTGATTTTAGATAGCTTTATTTGAGTAATGTATTTGATTACAGTGGTGCCTCGCTTAACGAGCGCACGGTTTAACGACGAATCCACATAGCGATGCGTTTTTTGCGATCGCTAATGCGATCGCATTGCGATGTTTTAGATAGGGAAAACATCGCGTTGTGATGATCGGTAAGTGTTTCGCTTACCGATCTTCGCATTGCGATGTTTTACAAACAGCTGATTGGCGGTTCCAAAATGGCAGCGCTCTGCCCTTGCTTACCAGGCAGGGAAAATGGTGGCCGGATTGAGGATTCCCCGCATAGCAATGAGTTTTTCCCCAATAGGAACGGAGTTTAATGCGTTTCTATGGGTTCCCCCCCCGCATAGCGACGAATCCGGATAGCGACGTTAATCCTGGAATGGATTAACGTCGCTATGTGGGGCACCACTGTACTTTATATTATTCAAACTTCTTTTATAATGGCCATGGCTATGCAAATAAACTTTTCTGTTAGCTCGAGTCTTCAGTGTCAAGGATATTATTGGCTCTAAAGTCCATTACTCCTGCATTAACTCTGAAATGAAGTAGATCCTGCTCTTTGATGCTATGTGTTAATTGTCATTGACAGTTTATAAAGCATAAAGGCTGAGATTGACCCCTTTGATTCCGATACCGAAATGCCTCAGCATTGGGAGGCTAAAAAGAGTATCAGGATAGCAAAACATGTCATGGTGGTGCTTGACCAAGAAGCTATGTCCATTGGTGAAAATTTTGAAACCCAGGAAAAATAATTCAGAATGGACAAGTAAAAGGAGGCCAGAACACAAGAGTTTGGGCTCATAAACAACAGAGTCCAACTCAAAAAGAACTGAGCTGGTTTTTGCAATCATAGTCTAACCATTTATCTAGAATATAAGTAGAAATTATGGAAGCACACACAACTAGTCTCATAATATAAAAATAGGCCTATTTTCTAGTTTGGGATAGTCTGCCAGAGGCTTAGTTTGAGTTTTATAGAACAGCAAAAGAATTATGGCTAGTTTCCAAGTATATATTTGCTAACAAGGATTATGAGTGTTATGGTACCTGAAATGAAATAGAGAGCATGTTCCATGAAACTCATCTCATCACATTTTGGCAATTGTTTTGGAGACCTTTAAATTATCTCTGCACAAATATATGCTTTTTGTGGGGCAGGCATGACATCATTAATTTACCTAAGAGTAAAGGGTATGTGTAGTTCTCCCTTGTGTGTGTTACACTTACTCACACTTTTGCTTCTCCATTTCATTTTTGGACATTAAGTCCAAAAACAGCCCTTCAAAATATTTTGGCACAAAGGGACTACAGCCACATCCCAGCTGTTTTTGCCTCTGTCCTCTCTCAGCAGCCATAGTACAGATCATATGCTCATCTTCTGGGATCCTTTAGCACGGGGTTATGCTCTGTGAGGGAAGTTTTTGTTAGAATTTGTGTGTGCGCGTGTGTGCACCCTCCCCCATCTCTCCCTTCTCCCCCCCTCCCCATTTTGAAAGCCAAGAAAATCCCATTTTAAAACGCAGGAAAAAATTTTTAATTCATTTTCAGTGGAAATAGGATTGGGGTTGGGATATAAGGGGCAGGAGGTATAGATATGGGTAGGGGAAAGGTGAAATTCCAAAGAGCTAGACAGCATTCTTTACATCCGCCTATACAGTTATACTAAAAGGAAGATCACAAAAACAATTTAGCAGATTTTACCAGAATTTCTATAGTTAATAATCTCTCCATTACCTACTTGGACCTTGATACTCTTCTTTTATCTATATTTTCCAATCCATATTTTGAGTGCCAAGTAGGTGTGGCTTGTCAGCCATGGAAGGCAGCCCATCTAGGAGAAGGAAAACTCCGATTTCAAACCTCCACTGCTTTGTGGCTATATCCACTCATGGAAAAGGCTTCATGAGTTCACTGGAGCTGGAGTCCCGAAGACAGTTTGTGTCGTTCTGCTAATTCCTGCGACGTTGCTGGAACCAGTTGTATTGGATCTTGCCTTTCCATTGGACCATTTCAGCAATGTGGAGAGGGGGGATCTGCTGCTTGGGTAACAGCCTATCCTCCGTATTACTTTACCTAGGCTTCATGCTCTGGAGAGGACACTCCTTGATTCAGAGCATGTTACCATAGTCTCTCGAGACTGAAGGATGCCTATGGAATTTTGAGTACAACTATAAAATCGTGATACCCATCCCAGAATTTTACTATATGTTTGCTTTTGTATCTTTTTCCAAACGCATAACAAAGACTTCCTTATCATAAGATTATAGAAAACTTTATGATCTTTAGCTTTTTGGTACCATACAAGAGTATGCCACCCCAGGCTAAGGTCATGTCCTTCCAATTTGATCAGTCTCTCATTCTCCAGAGTAATACATTCCTTAATCCACACAAGCCCTGTAGTAGGTTTTCCAGTCAGGGAGACCAAAACTTGCCCTTTGTTTAGAATCTTGTAGTGCTTTCACTTTAATCCTCGTTTTTTCCCTTGCCACACAAATTTCATTATTCTTAAAAATTAAAATCCTGTGTGTGTGTGTGTGTGTGTGTGTGTGTGTCTCCCCATGCGTGCGTGCATGCATGTGGGTGGGATGGGTGTACATGTATTCATGCAAGGTGTGTGTGTGCGCGCGCCTGCTGGGGAGTGGGACCGAGGTGTGCATGCAGGTGGCATGCATGCGGGCGTCTGTGTCTCTGTGGAGGGGTGCGGAGTGCACATGTGCGTTCCTTTGGCCCTTGAAGATCTGTCTTGGTGACCTGGTCCATCCAAGGCCACGGACCAGAACCGGTCCGCAGCCAGCAGTATACAGGATATACTCTTGTGCTCGCTACTGTTCACACTTGTTGAAAAGCAGCCATGTCAATTGCTTTATGTTTGGAGGAGAAAGCAGTTAGCTTCTGGAAATTTCCCTTGCTTTGTGTCACTTTGTGAATCCTGGTGTTTTGAACTGTGCATACAGAAACACAATATCCCACATTAATATAGCAGAGAGGGTTTTTTTTAATGATAATGAATTGATAGGACAAAAACATTGTTTCCATTCATAGTGAGAGTGTTACCCTTGCTGTGACAGATATGAGATTTTGACCCCAAATATATCTGTAGAGTGCAGTGTTGTCATTACTGATGGGAATATTTTTTAAAAAAATACCAAACATGTAAATCAGGAAACAATTGAGTTGTGCATAGCATAAGAGAAAAATAAGCAAAGATGTATGAAACCGTGGTGTCCCCCCAAACAAAACCTTCCCTTTTTGCACTTACATTTTTAATATTTGAACATTTGGTACACGTCTCAGTTTTCACTGCAGATGTTAATGTTCATCTTCATTTTCTGTCAAGACAGTTGGCACATGTTCATACAGTATTCCTGATGAAACATCATTGGGTTAAACTTGGGTATATTGTCATTTGCAGCATTATGTGACCACATTCTATTTTTTTTCTACAGAAAAGCTTGCAGAAGCTCAGCGGAGGTTTGCTACACTTCAGAATGAGTTGCAGTCAACTTTGGATGCACAAAAAGAAACCAGTGGTCTTACCACTCTGCGTCAGCGTAAAAAGCCAGTCTTCCATCTGTCTCATGAGGAGCGTGTTCAGCATAGGAATATCAAAGACCTAAAACTGGCCTTCAGTGAGTTCTACCTCAGCCTCATTCTACTGCAGAACTATCAGGTACCAATTGTAGTCCTTAAAGGACAGTAATATCATTTGCTTGTTTCTTGCACATTTTAAATGTTTAAGCTGGAGATAGTGGCCACATATCTTATTAATACAGTGGTGCTTTGACTTACGAACTTCATTGGTTCCAGAACTCCGGTTGTAAGTCGAAGTACCATTTCCCATTGGAATGCATTGAAATGCAGTTAATCCATTCTGGCTGAAGAAGAAAAATCACCAAAAAAATCACCCAAAAATAATCACCAGAAAATCATTGCAAGACCCATTGGAAAAGCAATTAATCCCGGCCAAAGGGGGGGGGGGGAGAAAAGCAAGTGAAGCATGCAAGACCCATTGGAAATGCAAAGAAAGCAAAGCAGAAAGCAAGCAAAGCGTGCAAGACCCATCAGAAATGCAAAGAAAACAAAGCAGAAGGCAAGCAGTGCGTGCAAGACCCATCTGATATGCTAAGAAAGCAAAGGAAAAAGCAAGCAGATCGTGCAAGACCCATTGGAAATGGGAGAAAAAACCAAAAAGCAAACAAACCTCCCAAGGCTGCCCCCAAGGAGCGCCAGACAGATCAGCTGGAATCCCTCTCATGGCATCCTGGAAACGCAGTGGATCCAGTAGCCTTCGAGAGCGGACCATTAAAACAGGTCCCTGCTTCCTACAGGGAGGGAGAGCCACTGAGAGGTTACATTTTATTAGGTGGTGATCTGACTATGACAAGGGAACTGAAACAAGATCAGTCACCATCAGACCACACTCGCTCCACTCAGTGGAGAACACCAGGTCTAGCATATGACCGCCCACATGGGTGGGCCGTTAACATGTTGGGACATGTCCAAGGAAGCCATGGTTTCCAAGAACTCAAGAGCTGGACTGGCGATCTCTGCCTCCACATGGATGTTGAAGTCACCCAGGACCAGAAGCCGCAGGGACTCCAACAGTGCCATGGAGACAAAGTCCGCCAGCTCCTGTAGGGAGGTGGCTGAGTCATGGGAGCGCGGTAACCCAGCAAGATCCCAATACTATCCCTGGCCCCAGTCGACATGTGGAGGGCCTCCAGTCCCAGCTTCACCACCGAAGAGTGCCTAATAACCTCCAAGGTATTTCTGTAAACATTGGCTACTCCCCCCTGCCCCTCCAGTCTACCCTGATGCTGGACTGCATAACCAGGAGGACAGGCAAGGATCAGAGGAACTCCCCCTTCCCCGCCCATCCAAGTTTCAGTTATGCATGCCAGGTCTGCATCCTCCTCCAGAATAAGGTCTTGTATAATCTGAGACTTATTGGACAGAGACCTGGTGTTCAACAGCACCAGCTGATCTGACTGCCTCGAGACTGGCAGGTGGTTACAGTGCCAGAATAGTGAACAGCCTTCAAAGATCTGTTTACTGTTCTTCTAAAATAAGTAGGCACTGTGCCAACACCAAATCTCCCTTTACCCGTAATCACACTGATGTTAGACCCCCTGCTGGGGGGGGGCAAGCCTTCCACTCCATGTCAAGAAAAGAAGAAAAACAAGATACACTAAATTAATACAGTGAACAATAGTAAGAGAATTAACAAATAAGTTCAACATTTCTTGAAAACAATAATACAAGCTCAAACAATGATCAATTATTAAATAAATCAAATTATTAAATTAAACAATCAAATGGAAATGCAAAGAAAGCAAAGCAAAAAGTAAGCAGATCATGCAAGACCCATAAGAAATGGGGGGAAAACCAAAAAGCAAACAAACCCCCCAAGACCCATCAGAAATGAGGGGGGGAAACCCAAAAAACAAACCACCCAAGACCCATCACAGCACAGAAACATAACCCCCCAAGTCCAAAACCACATTGCAAAACCCACCCAGAACAGTTTTTAAAAAGCAGAAAGCAGCACCTTACTTTACCAGGCAGTCCGAAGCCTCCTCTGATCGCACTCACTCTAACCGTTGGGGCGAAAGAGCTACAAGCAAGCAGCCTCTTCACCTACCAACGGTTAGCAATTTGAATTTCCCTCATTTACCCCTGCCTTTTTCTGTTTGTAACTGGAAGCTCCAGCGGTAAGTCAAAGCTAAATTTTGTGGCCGGAGCTGGTTGTAACTCAAAATGGTCGTAAGTTGGGACGTTTGTAAGTCAAGGCACCACTGTAGTTAGTTTGATGATTTCCTTTGTTATTTCTGTTGAGATTTATAACATTGCAGCTTGTCACCTGATTCAGTACACAGGAAACAACTGGATGATATCTTGCAACATGAGTTTAGACTCTTCTGCATCATGATTTGGGGTATTAAGAACAAATCACATGAAGAGCAGAACCTCGCATCTCAATTCAAGTATTCCACACTATGATCATCCAAAGCATTGAGCTCAGTGGTACAAATCATTTTGTCAGTCTTTTCAGCCTGGGTGAATACTCTGTGCATATACTCTGTGCTTGGCACCTTGATTTTTAAAATACAAATACAAATAAATATAAATACAAATACAATAAATACAATAAGTACAAACCGAAAATTTGACCAAAAGCAGCGATGTAGCATTGCAGGAATTAGTATGCATTTAGGTTCTTCGTAGTGGCCTCTGAGAATTCACACAAATGGATTTATTCTGCGCCTGTGCAGGACGTTTGGAAGATTCTAGAGCTTAGGAAAAAGAAACAATTTAGTTCCCTCCCAGGGTGCAAGCTCCACCTCCTCAACTTTCCTTTCAGTTCCTCTTTTTCCGCCATTAGAGTAGGACGTGAGGAATAGCAGAGCGTTTAAGGAAAGTGCTATTGCCTTTTTTGTATTCTTATTTTGATTTCTATTCAATATGATTGTTTTTTTTAGGGATAGAACAACTCTTTAAGTTCTTTTGCTGTCTTTTTGCTTCCCCCCCCCCCGGGATTCCCTTGTTTTTATGGCCCCTCGGGGTTTTAAGAAGTGCGCCATTTGTATGCCAAAAAAAAAATCCCTTAACAGACGGACACAATTTGTGCTTGTTTTGCCTGGGGGAACCCATCAACCCGTCGTGCTCTGCGTGCATAAGCCTCTCTAAGCAAGCTGTTAAGCTTTGACTACAACGTTTAAGGTCTTTTCTCTACAAAAAGACCCTTAATCCTGCTATGGAAGGGTAACCTGTTCCTTCTCCCCCTCCATGATCAGAACTTGCAAAGCTTGCCCCCGGCCCAGCTGCACAATCTTTGTCGAGCACGACTTCTCTACTTACCAAGTCCAAGAATTCTCAGAAACCAGCCAAACCAGCCTCTTTTAAGGCTCCTGAAAAGCCAGCCAAGTCTGCAAAAAAAGAGGAAAGATAAAGACAAGGTTAGGAAGCAAAAGACTATTGTTAAACCAGCTATTACTCCGCTCCCTACAGCTCCAATGCATTTGGAGGGATCTTCAAGAGACAATCTTGGGCTCTCGGATAGAGAGGAATGTGTCATTCCTCCAGCTCACACACCTCGTGCCTTGCTCAGTTTCTCTCCAGGTTCGGGCCATGGTGAGGCTGATGCAACGTCCAGCCCAGCCTTAGCCCATTTTAGCCCTCGATCTTCAGGGTGGGCAGATACTGATGCCGAATCCGAGCAGGAGTCTGCTGTATGCACTCCGAGAAAGAGAACAGAGAAGCGAAAGCATACATCTCCATACCAACCATGGGGCCATGTGGGCCAATACTATCATCCCAAGGGGCCGCCGCAATATGGCTACCATTATGATGGATACCAGCCATACCTGTACCATGGCTACGCATACCAAGAGGAACACAGGAGATTTAATTATCCGCTACCACCTTGGTACCCTTCCGTGCCATCTCCGCTGGAAGCCCTTGCTCGACACCAAGGGGATGTCCCTACCCCCCCAAGTCGAACCATTGCAAAAGAGGACTATGGTACCGGACCCCACCGTTCCAGCTAAGCACCTCAAGTTCAGCAACTGTCATCCTTCAGTGGACACAACCATGCTCTACCCTGGCCTCCAGGGCCATCATACTGAGCCTTTTTCAGCATCCACACAGTCGGACGTTGAACCCCATCCTAGGGTTCGCGCGAGAGGCTTCCACCGCTCACCTTTGAGGGCCTCTGTTTCTCCAGATAAGGACGGCTCATCCTCCTGACAATCAACACACACACCCCCCAGAGGATATCATGGACAGTCAACCTTTTTCATCCTCGGATTATTACACATCCTACGCCCAACTTATACTGCGTATGGCGAGGACCTTACAACTCGATGCTTAATTATCAGCACAGCATGAAACGGATCTAGTTTTCCATGACATGGACCAAGACAAATAGCCTCCACCTAGCCTGATCCTCATCCTGGCGCTCCTGAGACTCGCTAAGGAGTCATGAGATAAACCACCCTCTACTCTACAATTGTCACTTAAAATCAAACACCACATGGAGTGGACGCAGACTTCCTCATCAAACATCTGATCCCTAACTCTATTGTGGTCGAGGCCACTCAGAATAAGTCCTGCAGCAGATCCTTTATGACTCCTGTAAACAGAGAGAGTCCGAACATTGACTCTTTGGGGAGAAAACTTTACACTCTAGCGGTGCTGATGATCTGAATTTCTAACTACCAGGCGGCGATGGGCACCTATCAGGAATATCTGTGGGACAGGGTTCTCCCCACTCTGCAAGCCCTACCAGGATCCATAAAAGGCTGAAACTCTGAATGTCTATACAGAGGCCAATATGCTCGCCAAACAACAAAGGGTCGCGGCAAAACATGCTGCCAACACCGCTTCTAAAACCATGCTAGCTTCAGTAGCAGTCAGGCGGCATGCTTGGCTTAGGGCAGTTAACATTGTGGACGATACTAAGAATAAGATTGAAGACCGCGGGGCTGTTTAATTCAAAAATGGATTATATCATAGAAAACATCCACAGGATGAGAATGATGGCCAAATCATACGTACCATGCCAACCATATAAATATCAGAAGCCTTCTTACAAGAGGCCCGCATACCAACAGCAGCACCAGTATCAGCCCTTTTGGTACACTAAGCAGCAGCTGTCTGAGCAGGCTTATC